CAGTAAACGCACATCACGTTTTACTGAGGCTTAGAAACTACAAACTACAAGAATTCCTAAGCCTCAGTAAAACGTGGTGTGCGTTTACTGAGGCTTAGAAAGTACAAACTACAAATATTCCTAAGCCTCAGTAAACCATGATGTGCATTTACTGAGGCTTAGGGACTACAAACTACAAGAATTCCTAAGCCTCAGTAAAAACAAAAATCACTGTATCTCAGCACGTTTTCATCCGTTTTAAACGATTTTTAGCTCAAAATTTCTAGAATTTCTTGCAGAATTTTAAAATTAAAAATTGAGAATTTTCCAGGTGCTCGTCCGCAATCATGCCTCTGGAATCAATCCGGTCGACACCTACATCCGTGCCGGCCAATACGCCAAACTCCCAACGCTCCCATATTCGCCAGGAAAAGACGGAGCCGGAATCGTTGAGCTAGTGGGCGACGCAGTGAGAAATGTCAAGGCTGGCGACAGAGTTTGGTACGGAATGGAAAGTGGAAGTGCCGGAGAGTACAACGTCGTGAACCGCCCGTTTCCACTGCCAGATGGTGTTAGCTACTCGGAAGGCGCGTCGTTGGGCGTGCCATATATGACAGCGTACAGAGCACTGTTTCATTTGGCTGGCGCCAAGGTGAGCGATGTTATGGTTCGGAAAATAAAAATGGATTTTCTGAAAAAAAATTCCAAAATTTCTAGCCGAAACCGAGCTTTAAAGGTTTACTGAGGCTTAGAAGTTTTTGTAGTTTGTAGTTTCAAAGCCTCCGTAAAACTTAAAAAATTTCATTTTCATCAGTTTTTCATGAATTTTTGGCTGGAAATGCAAGAATTCGCTAAAAGAGAAATTTTGCTGTTTTTTCCTGTAAACGATTTTTGGCAAAAAAATTCATAAAGCATTATCCAAAAATCACAAAAAAAAAGGAAAACGATAAAAGCTTTTCAAGTATTTTTTTTTACTGAGGCTTAGTAATCATCTGTAGTTTGTAGTCGCTTGAATTTGAAAACAAAAATATTTTTTTTTAATACTGTAAAAATTCTAGAAATTTTGAGCTAGAAATCGTTAAAAACGGATGAAAACGAGCTGAAATACATTGATTTTAGTTTTTACTGAGGTTTAGTAATTATCTGTAGTTTGTAGTCGCTTAGCCTCAGTAAAAGTAAGGAGCGCTTACAGAAGTTTAGAGGCTACAAACTACGAAAATTCCTGAGCCTCAGTAAACATTTAAAAACGCATTATCTCGATTTTAAATGTTTACTGAGGCTAAGCGACTACAAACTACAAAAATTCCTAAGCCTCAGTAAAACCTAAATCTATTCTTCTCAGCTCATTTTCGTTCGTTTTTCACGATTTGCAGCTCAAAAATTCTAGAATTTCTTACGGAATTTTTAATTGAAAAAAAAATCGAATTTTGTAGACCAAAATTCAAACTGGACAGACCAAGAATCGAAAAAAAAATCGATTTTATAAAACGAAAATTGGTAAAAAGTCGATAAAGCAAAAGAACAATTGATGGTTGATTGTCCTAGCCACGACAACCCCACAATTCAGTGAACATCTGTCTCCTCCGACGTCAAACAGGCGGTCCGAAAAGGCACCATCTGCCATCTCTCCCTATCCAAACACACACTAACATAATTCCCTCTTTAGACTGGCGATGTGATTCTCGTGCACGGAGCATCTGGCGGAGTGGGCAGTGCGCTGATGCAGCTGGCGGCGTGGCGAAACATTGAAGCCGTTGGAACTGCCGGATCCAAGAATGGGTTACAGTACCTAAAACGTCTCGGCGCCAAACATGTCTACAATCACTCTGAAACTGGCTACGTGGCGAAAATGAAAGACGACTACCCCGGCGGATTCAATTACATCTTTGAAATGGCCGCCCATACGAACCTCAACACCGACTTGGGTCTACTGGCGCCACGTGGCAAAGTGGCAGTGATTGGAAATCGATCGGAGACCACAATCAACGCAAGACAACTCATGGTTACAGAGGGAGCCGTTTTTGGTAGTTTAATTGAAAATTTGAATTTTTGAAAATTTTGAACTTCAGGCGTCGCTTTGGGCATGTCAACTGAAGCGGAACTAGCGGATTTTGGACATAATATTGTGAATTTCTTAAAGGAAACTGAACACCGACCAATTATCAATAAGGAATACAGTTTGGAGCAGCTTGGACAGGCTCATAAGGATATTATGGAGAATAGTGGAGCCAAGGGAAATTTAGTTGTCAAAATTGATTGATTTCTTTGTATTATATATGAATAAATTTGAGTATTGAGAAATTTTTGAAATTCCAAAAATCCCTAAAACTAGTATAAAACGGATTATGAAGTAGCAACAAAAAAAATGGTAGAAACCAATAAAGAGTTCATTTGATGGAGAGTTGCATTTTGCAGAAAAAACATTGGCTGAATTGAATCAGGATCTTTTTAATGCTGATAAGAAGAAGAGATTCTGAAATGAATCTTTTCATTTGAATAAAATTATTTGTTGCCTCAACGGATAACCCCGAAGAAGCGCTTCCAAAAATTATAGTTATTCAACACTCTCGTTTCGAAAGGTCGAAATCCATGCTAACCTTGGTTAACTGGGTTAAAACCGACGAAAGACGGCGAGCGGCGCGCCTATACCTTCCCCCGTGTACCGACATCTCCCGGGTTCCGCCGCCCGCTATGTTTTGTGTGTGTCGCAGGCTCCGCCCACTTTTAAGGGGAGGGGAAGAGGAAATAGGCTTATTCTGATCTATTTTAAATCCGAAAAAAAGATTTTAGACTTATTTTTTGAGTGGAAATCAATTTTAAAAAAAACGTAAGAATCAATGATAAATCATCAGGAAAATTGAATTTTCGAGAAAAAAAAACGATTTTCAAAAACTCAAATTTTTTATTCAAAGAAAAATAGGTTAATCCAACAAATCGAAAAGCCATTTGAGCTCGGCAAAATTCTCCGGAGTATAGTCACGGCATCTGGAATTTTGTAATTAAAAAAATTATTTTTTTTTAAATTTTAAAAATTATTAATTTAAATTTATAAAAATTAATTTAGAATGGTCTTAAAATTCTGATTTTTAAAGAAAAAAATGGACCAAAAATTTGTTTAACAAAATTTAAAATTTAAAAGAAAATTTTCAAAATTATTTTTTTTTAATTTTAAATAAAAAATTATAAATTTCCAAAAATTAAATAAACCAAACCTCAGAAGTTCCCCCAAATCCTCTTGCTCCTTATCACTCTTCTTCTCCTCCTCATTCTTATCCACACTTTCTTTGGATTTATTCGAACCGATTAGAATCACAACTTCTTTTTTATTATTCAAAGATTCTGCAGAATCCGTGGAGCCAGGTGTAGCCGTTGTAGCTATTTTTGGAGTCTGGGTCATCACTGGAGTTGGCATTTGAGGCGTTTGGGGTGTCAACGGAGTCAATGGAAGATTCGGTGTTGTCGTTGTAGGAGTTGTCGAATGCTTCCCCGTCTTTTTCTCCTTACGCCGCTTCTTGTGCTTCTTCTTTGACACCGACGTTTTCTTCCGTTTGCAACAGTACGTTGGCACGGTGAGGAGGAGAAGGAAAACCATTAGATTTGTTACGAAATACTCTGGAAATATAATTCAGAATGCATCTTTCTATTGCCTCAACGGATAACCCCGAAGAAGCGATTCCAAAAATTACAGTATTATTCAACACTCTCTTTCGAAAGGTCGAAATCCATGCTAACCTTGGTTAACTGGGTTAAAACCGACGAGAGATGGCGAGCGGCGCGCCTATACCTTCCCCCGTGTACCGACATCTCCCGGGTTCCGCCGCCCGCTATGTTTTGTGTGTGTCGCAGGCTCCGCCCACTTTTAGGGGGAGGGGAAGAGGAAATAGGCTTTATTTAGGGCTATTTAGGGCTGTTTTTGACCCGGAAAAAAGGGTGTAGGCTTATTTTTTGAGCAGAATTCGAAAATTGATTTAAAATCCAGATTTCTAGGTGAAAAAACCCAAAAAAGGCCCGTTTTCGGGGCCAGCCTAGAAATTTGAGATAAAAAAGATTTTAAAAAGGCTATTTCAAATAAGCCAAACTTACCCAGCATATTTCTAATTAGAGAGTCTGGATGTAGAGAACAAAAAGAAATGTGTCTGATTTGCGGAATTGTTGGCTCCACGTCCCAGACTTTAAAAAAAAACAAAAAAGTTCAAAAAAATCAAAAAACTCTCAATATGCCAGATTTTAGAATCTTCACGATGATGACTTCATCGCAACAGTTCACCGAATTACTCCTACTTTTTGGTTTTTTGGGTTTTCAGGTTTACGGTAGAGGAGGGAGCACGAATATAGGGTTACTCAACTTTAAGCTCATTTATCTAGGTTCCTGTAAGAGATATCAAAAAGTGGTCAACTGTTAATATATTTATCATATTATCAGCAACATTTTATTAGTTGCTCACTTTTTGACAACTTTTACAGAAACCAAGATAAATATGCTCAAAGTTAAGACACCCTTCTCTAGGTGGCATGGACCGTAATGGTCTGTAGGCGTTTTTCTCAGATTCCAGATTTTTAGTTTTTTATATCATTTTAAAGAACTTGAAATGAGCTGCAAAACGGTATAAAAATCTAAAAATTTGGAATTCAAATGAATCTCGTACAGACGATTAAAGTATTGCATATTGCTAGTGCGGCCTAGAGAAAGGTGTCTCAACTTAAATCAATTTATCTCATTTTCTGTAAGAGGTATCAAAAAGTAGTCAACTAATAAAATGTTTATCATATTATCAGTAACATTTTATCAGTTGACCACTTTTTGATATCTCTCAGAAGAACCGAGATATATATGCTCAAAATAGGCGGTATCTCAAAAAGTAGACGAAAATTTTCCAGCAATTGTTTCTATGCTCCCTAATTATTGGTTGTGGTGGAAAGAAGAAAAAGAAGAAGGCGACAAAAAGTGAGTCTTCTGAATCTGACGACGATACAGAAGAGGAGGATTCTGATGAGAGACGACGACAGAAGAGACGGGCGGCCGCGAAAAAGAAGAAGCAAAGGGAAAAGAAGCGGGCGGCGGCAGCGGCAGCCGCAGCAGCGGTAGGTTACTGTAGATTTTTGGGATTCAGGAACCCATGCGGGGCGCCATATTGTTGAGAACAAAAAATTACTAAAAATCCTAGATTTTGGCTTGAACAGTAAAAAATAAAAAATTAATTAAGGTTATATATTCTGAAAATATAACTTTTTCTTCACAGAAATGTAGAAAAAAGAGTATATTTTTAGAATATAACCAAGTTATATAGGATTTCTATTACTTTTTCATTCCCAGGCTCCAAAACCACCGAAAAACATGGCTGCACTGGCGAACGCCCACGATCCAAACTATCAAACATTGGCTGGTTTGAATAATGACCTAGTTTTTGGTCCAGGGGATCCACTTGCAGGTGGACCAGCAGGTATTATCAATGGGGCGCCTTTTCTGAGTCTCAATAGATTATCTTCAGGCCCTAAAGCCCCACCAGCTGGCTCCAATCCCGGTATGGTTGGTACCCATGACCCCAACTATCAAACTTTGGCTGGTCTGAACAATGACCTAATTTTTGGAGGTGGTGGTACTCCTATTGCACCTAAACCACCAGCAGTTGGAGGCAAAGCCGGAACCAATGACCCTAATTATCAGGTAATTAGAGCGCATTGGCATTTTTAAAAAATTCAAAAATTTAAAAAATTTGTTTCAGACTCTGGCAGGCCTCAACAATGCGGATATATTCAAGGAGAAGGGAAATGCGGCGCCTAAGGCACCGGCAACTGGTGGGAAGGCAGCAAACAATGATCCCAATTATCAGGTAAGGATTAGAGCGCATTTGCATTTTTTAAAAATTCAAAAAATTGATTTTCAGACCCTCGCTGGACTCAATAATGCGGACATTTTCAAGGATAAAGGTGCAGGAGGAGGAGGAGGAGGACCAAAACCACCAGTTGGAGGTGGAAAAGTAGCAGCGAATGACCCTAACTATCAGGTACAGAAGGAGAACAATGCAAATACGCTCTAATGAGAAACCTTTAGACATTGGTTGGACTAGACAATGATGTGTTTAAGAAGAACAATGCAGCTAAGCCAGTGCAACCGGTACAGAAGAATGTGAAGGCTGCTACAAACGATCCCAATTACCAAACGTTGGCTGGGTTGAATCAGGACATTTTTGGAGCTGATAAGAAGAAGAAATTCTGATAGAATAGAACTCTTTCTATTTGAATTAAATTAATTGTTGCCTCAACGGATAACCCCGAAGAAGCGGTTCCAAAAATTAAAGTTATTCAACACTCTCTTTCGAAAGGTCGAAATCCATGCTAACCTTGGTTAACTGGGTTAAAACCGATGATAGAGGCGAGCGGCGCGCCTATACCTTCCCCCGTGTACCGACATCTCCCGGGTTCCGCCGCCCGCTATGTTTTGTGTGTGTCGCAGGCTCCGCCCACTTTTAGGGGGAGGGGAAGAGGAAAAAGGGTTGTTTAAGGCTAATTAGGGCTGTTTTTGACCGGGAAAAAAGATTTTCGGGGTTATTTTTTGAGCAGAATTCAAAAATTGATGTAGAAGTCCCGAAAATTAAAGCGATTTGTACCAATTTTCAGCTCAACTATACAGTATCCACTTAACAACACTTTTTGAAAGGGTTTTTCTTCACTTTCCCTCCCTATATCATTTTTCTCACACTCATTCATCTCCCCGTGTGGCTCTTCTATGTGTGTTTTAGGGTGTAAATAATCTCGCACCGGGCCGGTTTTATTGGCTCTTTTTCTCACCTACCTCAATTGAGACGCTGGGGAGAGCCTCACTTTTGCGCATACACTTTTTACCCCTCTTATCATTATAAATATAAAGTTTTAATTAATAATTTTCGAATTGTAGTACATTTTGTATAGAGAAAGGGTTTATGAATTATTTATAAGTGTGTGAAGACAAGCGCATTTTTAAACGAATTGTTTAGACGTCTTTTCCATTTTCTTGTTTTGAAAATTCTTAAAATTTTTCAAAATTGTAGTATTTCCTATTTGCATACCAGCTTCAAATCTGACTACCCAGGTTCGACTCCCCACCTCGTATTTTTCTTTTTTCTAACTTTCCTATGAATTTTTTTTGTGGAAAAAACAAACTGTTTATGTTCTGCTAAGACCAGTTCCCCTCCCCCCTTTATCTTCATTCATCTCCTCTCACTTTGTGTCACTTTCCAAACCACTTTTGCCAATTAGTTCTCCTCTTTTTCTCTGTTACTTCCAAGAAAAAAAAAGTGAAAAAATGGAGAAAACTTTCAGTCGGTAGTTGTAGTTCGAACAAGGAGGCAACAGAGAAACAATCGAAATTTGTGGGGCGTAAAAATTCCCCTTCTCTGTGTTTTTGCATCGTTTCACACCCCCATAACACTCAAAATATGTATCGTTTTCTTCTTCTCCTTATAGATCACAAGACCTTTTCAACACTGTACTGTTTTTTTCCGGATTACTGTAGCTCAAAAAAAGTTAGGAGCAGTTAATAGTTAGGATTGACGTCGTTGATGGTTTGATGTGCGGTTGCCATAGGGATGGCGTATCTTTGAACCCATTTATCTTGGTTTCTGTGAGAGATATCAAAAAGTGGTCAACTAACAATATGTTACTGATGTTGTGTGATATCTTTTACAGGAAATGAGATATATGGGCTCAAGTCTGGGAGGCATTCTGGTACGGTATTTACAGGGTTTCCAAGAAGAGTCAAAATAAATAGAATCCTGTTATGACCTAATAGGATGACCATATACGTACCAACCTTATAATTAAAAAGGGAGACGTCGTAGTACAAAATACCGAATCATAATTATAACTTGTTAGAGATGCCCATGGCACGCTTGACTGGGATGAGATATCCTAAGAAATCGGGTTTTAAGCAAGTTGTTCAACAATTTTAATCAAATTTTATATCATTTTAATTCCCTTGAAATTTCCTACAAAACTAGCTAAAAATCAACTGTCTAGCTAACGTTTGAAGCGAGTTATGCGCCTTTAAATTTCGGCGAAAGTGCAGAGAAACGAGAGTGTCTGTGTCTCTCATAATCAGGTCATGACCTAGATATAATTTTTCCATCAAATTTGGTATCATTTTAATCCCCTTAAAATTCCCTACAAAACTAGGTTGAAATAAATTCTGTAGCTGATTTCTGAAGCGAGTTCTGCACCTTTAAAGTTTGGCGAGAGCGCAGAGAAACGAGAGTGTCTGCGTCTCTGCCCTATCTCAGCTAAAAATAGTCCGTTTCAAATGATTTTTAGTTTGTTTTGAAGGGGGAAAACTTGGAAAATTCGAAAACACAAAGTTTTTCAAGTTTTCAAGTTTTATGGTGTTTGAGAACTACAAGACCTCATCAATCTCAATTTTCACAAACTTCATTTCACGATCCATCAAAAGTTTATGAGCTTTGATGCTATTCAAGCCTTTATATGTTGATCTAGTTTAATTTACCTAACAATATCTGTAGTTTTTATCTACTTTTATCTAAAAAAAATCTGAAAATCCGGCATTTATAAGGCCCATGGTCACTTGACTGTTAACTTATTTTCAAATCAATTTATCTCGGTTCCTGTAAAAGGTATCAAAAAATTATCAACTAATAAAATGTTACTCATATTATAATAAACATTTTATCAGTTGACTGTTTTTTGATATCTCTCATAGGAAATGAGATATGTAGGCTTAAAGATGGGCGTTCTTCTATTACAGGCACCTTCCCGCCTCTTCTTCCCCCTCAAAACTACTCAAAACTCGTAGAGGAGAATGGATATGATAGTGCAAACATCTCAACTATCAGTATATAATTGAATGCGAGAAGAAGATATGAGAGAGTTGAGACTGTTTGTTTGCCCACTTTCTCTCTCTCTCTCTCTCTCTCTCTCTCTCTCCCTCTCTCTCTCTCTCTCTCTCTCTCTCTCATTTTTCGCGCAAAGAGCACGAAGTGAGAAGTGATATGAGCTAGATATCCATATCTCTTTTTTTGATTCATCGTATTTTTTTGGTTCCGGGATCAAGCCGTTCCGCTATTGTTGCAAAAATTTTTGACAGCTCTGACTACATGATATGATCGGAGGCTATATATCTCGGTTCCTGTAAGAGATATCAAAAAGTGATCAACTGATAAAATGTTACTGATATTATGATAAATATTTTATCAGTTAATTACTTTTTAATATCTCTTACAGGAACCAAGATAAATAAGCTCAAAGTTGAGGCACCCTTCTCCTGGTGTCATGAGCCATATGCAATTGTCGTGTGTCCGTATCGTGTGTACGCATTTTTCTCAAATTCCCGACTTTTTAGTTTTCATTTCATTTTGTAGCTCTTTTAGAGCTCTATAAAATGATATAAAAATCAACTAACTTCACTAATAGTTGTAAGAGTTTACAGTACCTCTAGGTGGCTACTGTAATAGAAAGTCACTCAATCCGTTAGCTTTGAGCTTATAAATCTCGATTTCTGTATAAGATATCAAAAAGTGATCAACTGATAAAAGGTTTATCATCATATCAGCAACATTTTATCAGTTGACAACTTTTCAATATCTTTTACAAGAACTGAGATATATGAGCTCAAATTTGAGTGGATAGTTTCTTTGAATTTCTGGAACTCCATTGTTTTGATTTTTCAGATTTTAGATTTTTCAATATCTAGATTATTTAAATTCTAGATTCTTAAAATTTCAGATTCCTTCAATTTTGAAAATTCCGAACATCAAGATTCAGATTCCTGATTCCTTGATCTTTAAACCTTTCAATGTACACTTTTTCTTATCACATCCATCCACCCACACATGCATTTTTGTATGTATTGCTCATCCTTATCATTTGATCATTAAAAATGCGAATCTCGTGATTTTTCATTTTTATTGAATTCTCCCCTTCAAGTTCCCCGGATTCTTAGAAAACCATCCTAACCTTGATGGGCCCCCCCCCAATTCTTTCCTTTGATCTTCTTCTTCTTCTCTTTGAAACAAAAGAGAAGGCAACATCTGAAGGAGTCTATTCAAAAAAAAAAGAGACAAAACACAAAATCTGTCTCTGCGGGAGAGAGGGGACACCTTGACCCTACGGAAGTTATTCATCACCCTGAACACTGGTATTCCTAAGGGTCGAGTCGACTAAGAAAAATGAGATTTTCCAAGGAGAAACAGACACACAGATAGAGCCCATTTTCAAAAATAGAAAATGGGCTCTATCTGTGTGTCTGTTTGTCCAAGTTTTTTCCTTTGAAACAAACTAAAAATCACTAAAAACTGACCATTTCGAGCTGAGATACCGGGCAGAGACGCAGACACTCTCGTTTCTCTGCGCTCTCGCCAAACTTTAAAGGCGCATAACTCGCTTCAAAATTTAACTACAAAGTTGATTTTTAGCTAGTTTTGTAGGAAATTTCAAGGGGATTAGAATGATATAAGAATTGATTAAAATTGTTGAACAACTGAAATGAAATAGTATTGAAATAATAATTAGATATATGACCTCAAGTCTGGGAGGCATTCTGGTACGGTATTTACAAACCAAGGTTTCCAAGAAGAGTCAAAATAAATAGAATCCTGTTATGACCTAATAGGATGACCATATACGTACCAACCTTATAATTAAAAAGGGAGACGTCGTAGTACAAAATACCGAATCATAATTATAACTTGTTAGAGATGCCCATGGCACGCTTGACTGGGATGAGATATCCTAAGAAATCGGGTTTTAAGCAAGTTGTTCAACAATTTTAATCAAATTTTATATCATTTTAATTCCCTTGAAATTTCCTACAAAACTAGCTAAAGATCAACATTCTAGCTAACGTTTGAAGCGAGTTATGCGCCTTTAAAGTTTGGCGAGAGCGCAGAGAAACGAGAGTGTCTGCGTCTCTCCCCCGTATCTCAGCTCAAAATGGCCAGTTTTTGGTGTTTTTTAGTTTGTTTTAAAAAGAGAAATTTAAGGAATTTGAAAATACAACTTTTAGTTTTGAAAATGTTTCCTGGTTCCTTACTTTGTATCTGTTATAATTTCCAGAAAAGTCAGAAAAGGTTAAAAACAGGTCTCAGTGCAAAGCAGCTAGCTTATGGTGGTCCCCTGCACATCAAACCATCCATTCTAACCTAAACCCCCTAGTACTGTACTCTCCCCATTACCAACATTTCATGTTCCGCTTGAATGGTTCCACTTCTTCTTATGCAACACACACACAAA